TCTGTCAAATAAATAAATAAAATCTTTAAAAAAAAAAAGATGGAGGAGTGTTGTAGATCCTTCAGTGAAAGAAGACATGTTTAGTATGGATAGGATATTATACAAGGAAATTATTGAAACTTTCCTTAACTGTGATAATGATAGGAGAACATCCTGGTTTTTAGGTGACACATGCTTGCCTACAGGCAGTCCTCCTCTGTGCCCTTTCAGTGTACATGAATTTTAGTCACATGGTTTAGTTAAATAACACCAGGGTCCCAGCAACACAGTTCAAGTATCATTTACCATGGTCTTCTACCTGCGAGCGATCACATGAAGTTCTAACTGCTTGCTGCTAACTCTGCAGTCCACAGATCGCCACCCCAGTAACAGCCGTGCATCATCATCAGTGGCCGATCGTGTCACTTCTTTCAAAGTGTGTGGACGATCGGCCCCCTGTTACCCCGATGAGGTACAGACAGCAAAATGTATAGCTGTGTTATCTCCTTGTCTCTCAGCCGTAAACTCCTGTGACATTTTACCCCTCCCCCCAAAAAAAAAATCAGAAGAGGCAATTGGCCAACAAAGATGTAAATGCAACAGGGGTGCCTGGCTGGCTTAGTCAGTGGAGCCTGCAACTCTTGATCTCAAGGTTGTGAGTTTGAGCCCCATGTGGCGTGTATAGATTACTTAAATAAATAAAAAAATATTTAAGATTTTTATTTAGTTATTTAACAGAGAGAGCACAAGTAGGCAGAGCGGCAGACAGAGGGAGAGGGAGAAGCAGGCTCTCCGCTGAGCAGGGAGCCCGATGCTGGGCTCAATCCCAGGACCCTGGGATCATGACCTGAGCCGAAGGCAGCTGCTTAACCAACTGAGCCATCCAGGCGCCCCTAAATAAATAAAATTTTAATAAATTAATTAAAATAAAGCGGCATCTTCATCTTCAGTTTTTGCATCCCTTTAGTAAATAAGCTTCACTTCTAAGAACCTATCCTTAGAAAATTCAGAGTACTTTATTAAAAAAAAAAAAAAAGACAACAATGTAAATATCCAAAAATAGGACACTGCTTAATTTATGAGACAGCCATATCCATATAATGGAATGCCAAGCAACCATTAAAAATCTTAAAAATACTGTAGTGATGTGGAAAGCTAGTCTGGATATATTAAGACAAAGTGATTGAAGGATATATTCCAAATTTTAAAGTTTTCTTAAAATCTCTAATTCTTTTTTTCCAAATTTTTATAATAAACGTGTATCACTTCAGTTTAAAAAAAAAAAAGTTGCAGGGGAGTGTTGGGGAAAAAATATAAAAAGAGGAAGAGAAGAGATGGAAGTTACTGGTATCGCTACGGTGTTGAATTTGGTTCCACCCCGGCCAACCAGATTTGTGGCTTTTTCCCCCAAGTCTAGTCCAGGGACTGTCCACCAGAGGGCGACCTTAGGTCTCCAGAGCAGACACCCAGAATTGCTATCTCCGAAAAGGGGTGTGCGGCAGCAGGCTGGAAATAGCACCCTTGTCCTTTATTCTCGTGAGGACTGGAGCACTTTCTTCCCCTCTGTGGAAATTAAAGGACTGGGGGAAACTTGTTGCACATGTAACCAATACTTAAGGTCTTACTCAGTTCTAAGATTTTAGGAAAAACGGAGACTTAATCCTTGAGACTTTTAAAAAGTGTAGCTTCTCCAGTCCAGCTCTTCGGAGGCCATCCAAGACAGGTTATTCTTAAGTGACGTCGGCAGATCATCACAAATCATTCAATAGTTTAAGCTTTCCTAGACAAGCAGCTTGAGGACCACAGGCCAAAATACAAATATTAACATTATATTAACCAGGTCCCTACGATTATGCAAAAACAATCATGGAACTCCCTAATTCTCAGTTTTCCATGATAGTAGAGGGGCAAATAATGGAAGCGTGTTAATCATACCTTCAGCTTTACGTAAGGGCATCACCTTGGGTCCTGTGGTACCTGCTGCTTAGTTTCCCCTGTGATCTTCCCATCTAGGCGATCTTCCTCACGCTGTTCGGCTCCCTGATGCTGAACCGGATGCCGTGGCTTACCAAAGAGAAGGAACAACAAACAAGGAGGATCTTGGCACTCTTGGGTAATTCAAGTAGTTCTAAGTACCCACATCTGATTTTGCAAAGAGCAGATGCCGGAGCAGCGGACCCCTAGCTACATCACCACCTCGCATTTCTCCACGCAGGGACCTTGTCTGGTTAGCTGGCTGCCCCTTCTCAGCTGCCCAAGGCGATCCAGGGCATCACCAGCACTCGTGAGTTCTTCCCAAGACCCCCTCGTGCTGCCTCAGTGCCTCACCTCTCGTCCGTGTCCTAGATCTCCTCCCGAGTCTTTCTCGCTCCCGGGCCCCAGAGGCTGTTTCCGACCACTCACCGTCTGTATCTGGATAGATGGGGTCAAACCAAACATGCCCCAATCGGGGTGGCCTGCCCCGCAAACCCACTTCTTCACTGTATTCTCTCATTTTTTAAAAAAGATTTATTTATTTATTTGAGAGAGAGAGCGGGAGGGGCAGATGGAGAGAGAGAGCGAATCCAAAGCAGACTCTGCACTAAGCGCGGAGCCCGGCATGGGGCTCGATCTCACGACCCTGAGATCACGACCTGAGCCGAAACCAAGAGTTAGGCGCTTAACCCACTGCGCCACCCAGGCGCCCCTATGTTTTCTCATTTCAATAAAGAACATCCCTCCTCTCTTAAAATGCCAGAGTAATCCTAAATTCTTAGTCTTCACAGTCACCATGCCTGAGGGACACTACCCTCTAAATAACTGACTGGAGCTGCACCTATCACGTAGATGAACCACACAAACACAGTGGTAATCAAAAAAATTAATACTTTAATCATGGGAAACAGCATATGTATATATAAATACATATGTGTGTGTGTATTTTTTAATGAAGAAGTGCATGGGAATGATAAATTCAGGATTAGATTAGCTCTCTGAAGAAAGGGATACCATCACAGATGAACAGACTCTAAGTGGAAATCAATTTATTTATTTATTTTACAGAAAGAGCACGAGCCATGGGGAGAGGCAGAGGGAGAGGGAGAGAGAGAATCTTAGGCAGGCTCCACACCCAGTGGTGAGCCCGATGCAGGGTTCCATCTCACAACCCTGAGAATATGACCTGAGCTGAAATCAAGAGTCAGATGCTTAACCAACTGAGCCACCCAGGCTCCCCTAATTTTTACTTATTTTAAATAATCTCTACACCCAACATGGGGTTCAAACTCATGGCCCCAAGATCAAGAGTCACATGCTCTTCTGACTGAGCCAGCGGGGAGCCCAATGCAATCACTTCTTTCTTTCTTTTTTTTTTTTAAGATTTTATTTATTTATTTGACAGAGAGAGACAAGGTGAGAGAGGGAACACAAGCAGGGGGAGTGGGAGAGGGAGAAGCAGGCTTCCCCCAGAGCAGGGAGCCCGCTGTGGGGCTCGATCCCAGGACCCTGGGATCATGACCTGAGCCGAAGGCAGACACTTAACGACTGAGCCACCCATTTCTTAAACTGAGTGGTAGACACATTACTATGGGTAGGCAACCCATTCCTTACAAGATCTTTAAAAATTAATCTAATTTCAAACAGTTTTCCATGCTCTTGAATAGCTGTTCCCTCTGCCTAAAAGGCTTTTTTTTTTTTTAAAGCAAGGACTTTTTTTTTTCTTGTCTGTGTCCATCTGAAGAATTGTATCTGAGTCATCCTTCAAAACAAATGTCAGGTTTCACTCTGTGACACCTTCTCTGACTTCCTCAGATTTATTTTCTCTTTGGTGATTCCCCAAGCACTAGGGACATACATGCTGGCGAGTTTTATGTCCTATTCTAATTCTTTCTCTCTCTCCGTCTTGGTTTGCGTGTCTCTGGCTACGTCTCACAGTGTGGTCTGTAGATGAGCAGCACTGATATCTGGAATTTTCAGAAATGAGCAGTCTTAGGCCTCACCCCACAATCTGCATTTGAACAAAATTCCCAGGTGATTCCTTTGCACATTGAAATTTGAGAAACACCGCTGTAGAACAGTACTCCCAACGTGTGGGTCACTGACTAGAATTGTTCGTTTCTAGTCCAAGATAAATGCAGAAATTGAGAGCAAATATTTAGAAAGTTTTATAGCAATTGGACCAATTTTAGACAGATTGTATCTAATTTTCAAGATGGGATTTGGATTTTACATGCTCTTGTTTTACTTCGTTTTTCTAGCAATCAATTTTTATTATATTTTATAGCAGTATCAGTCCCCAGGGTGCCTGGGTGGTGCCGTCATTTGAGTGTCCCACTCTTGGTTTTGGCTCAGGTCATGTGTGATCTCAGGATCTTGGGATCCAGCGCCCCTTCAGTGGGCTCCACGCTCAGGGCAGAGCCTGGTTAAGATTCTTTCTCTGTCTCTCCCTCTGCCCGTCCCCCCACGCCGTGTGCACACACACACACACACACACACACACAC